TCCTAATAAATATTAAACAAGCTAAAGAGGATTAGATGTTTCCTCGGTCTTTGCGCAAAACCACGGTGAATCTCACAAATAAACTCCTGCTTTCAACAAAGAAAAACTTCGAAGGCGGCAATTATGTATAGCGAGCTGGAATCAAATTACTACAGGGTTTCGCTTCATATACGAAACTGACCTTAGCGAATCATTGTTAAATTTACAGCATTTGAAAAACGAAGGGATCCAAAGTAAAATAAGGTACATACCTCATCACCACTGCCTCCTCCCTCAGCATCAGATTTGGAATCGTCGAAAACCATTTCGTTATCATCGTCATCCTCGGAGTCGTCGTGGCCCTTAACAACCAATGTTGGTGGTATACAAAGACTGTTAGAAGCAAAAAATTACTTTGTGTGAAGCAGTTGCCCCTCCCCTACCACGACCGCGACCCCTTCCACGACCACGACCTCGAGCTGCTCCACGCTTCTTCTTTGTACCGAATTCCTGCAAAAAATTGGGCAGATTGGGAAAATGAACATTAATAAGCCAGTACTTACCACGTCGTCGTCATCGCTAGCAGGTTGATCGCTGTCAGTATCTGAAGCCTTTTTCCCTCGACCTCTACCTCTTCCTCGTCCACCACGGCCACGTCCACTCTGAAAGGACGAAGATCTACATATGAAACAAAAAACACAATGAGTGAGCGAGCTCAGTTTCAGATACCGCATTATCTTAACATAATGATTGTATAGAGTTTAGCACGCAAAACTTATACAGTCACAAGAATCATGGAGCTCCTACAAAGTCTCGAACTGCAACTCCTCCAGGAACGCACCTTTTCAGAGAAAGAAATTACGTAAAAGCAAAATACTCATAAATACGACTAATAACTTACGCGGAATAACTTCCCAGGAATTTCGTCGTCCACTTCGGCGAGAACAGTGGAAGTGTCTGGATTAGCATAATCAACGCGCGTAGAGGTAGAACGTCGAGGACGTGATGACGCTATCGATGACGGCTGAAGTACGACAACATTTCAAAAAAGGCAATCGAATCAAGGGAATTACTTCGGTAATGGACATACCGCATCTTCCGAAGCCCCAGCGGTAACCCGAGGCGTACGTGGCGTACGAGGAGTGGCAGCAGTCGCCGCCCCAGCCGGTCTACCGCGGCCACGACCACGACCTAAACATACATCATGCACGACTGATAAGAATCAGCTCACCAAGAATACCCATAAAACCAACTAAAATATCGAGCAAACTCCGAGCCAACTGACTGAAATATCGAGCTAACTCCGATCTATCATAAGGCTCTATAATAGCCCTCCACACGACAGAAGAATTTGCACCGGTCCTGAGACTATTACGGCGTGACCCAAAACTCCGGAAAGGGTCTTGTGGAAGCAGACATACTAACTTTAAGAAGGCAGCTACTTCGGTCTGAAACACTTACGAAGACCTCTTTAAGCTTGAAGACGATGGCAAAAGACGTCATATTCTAGAGAGATCAGGGCAGCGAACATGGGCTTACAACTGCGTGTGGAAGGACATTTCAGCAATATTTTCCCGGAAGGACCTATATCGACAACAGCAACCTATGCCAGTTAGAGCTTGCTGATATATGTGTTGAGCAGAGGGCCTTTTTTGACCGTCCTTGAATATTAACTTCAATTTGAAACAAACTGACCACGTCCTCTGCCTCTTCCTGGAGTTGCGGGAGTAGCAGATTCAACAGTGGTATCCTTGGGTGCTTCGTTTTCTCCTGTCGACGTGTCCATATCTTCAGCTGTTTTTGTCACGCCTTTTTTCTCCTTCTTTTCCTTAAGAATTAGTAATATTCTTCAGCGTCTCGTGTGAAAATAGATGAAATGCGACTTAATTGGAAAGAAACCCCTCAGCCTTACTCGCTTCGCCATTTCTTCTATCACCTTTCATTTACTTCAAATTTTGTGAGAAAATATAACTCATATTCGCTTCCGTATTCCCCCGCCCCCTCATCCGGAATACCTTTGGCGTTATGTTATAGAAATTGAAACTGAAGCTACAGAACTGTAATGACTTCGCTAACAAAGCCGAATAGTTGAACAGCTGCGCACACTTTCGTGTTTACAGAGGTTTCCACATTTCTTTGTCTCTTTTCGTTGCAACAAGCTCGACACTTTTGAAACTAGCGTAATCTTTGGAGTGCATGAGTAGTACAAAACGTTTAGTAAGAAAGAATACCTCAGTAATTTTCTGCTCTTCCTTTGCTGGCTCGTCCCCTTTCGCTGCCGCAGCGTCTTCAGATTCCTCAGCTTTTTGCTTCTTTTCTGCAGTATCGGCCACTTTCTTGAAATGTAAAATTAGGAGAAACTCTATCACGTAGAAATGAAGATTTTGGATCAGCAGATGCCCACCTCCTTCTCAGTCTTCGCTTGCTCAGCTTCTTGTGCAGCTTCAGCCTCTTTTGCCTGGAACCACGTATCAAAACAAGTCCGTGGATAAGTTTCATAGAGAAAATGGTCACCTTAGCAATTTCCTCTTCATCTACAACCTCCCACTTCTCTGCGTCACTTTCCGCTTTGTCATCTTGGGAAGGTGGGACATCGCCGGCAGCTTTGGCTTCAGCTGCTTCTGCAGGCTCGGATGTATCCATGGGCGTCCCCTTGAATTGCTGTATAAGTCAACAGACCGAGTAGGGTTCCCGATAAGATTTAGTTTTGCTGTACTACTACTGCACAGCATTTGATGAGCCGATACCTCGTACCGCTTGCAAAAATAGAAAGACGTTTCAATTCGAAAAAAAAATCTCGAAGATCTGCTTATATTCTTGATTAGAATGGGGTGTTGCGCAGTGAAGAGATTACAATTCTATTAAGAGCAAAGATGTCTTAA